GAATACTAAACTGCAACGCTCTTGAGTTCTGATGTGGGGTATATCGGACGCCTGAAAACGTTCTGTATTTTGTTTTGTACATCTGCTTAAAAAAAAAAAATTAAAACGAAACATTTCAGCGTAAAACAATTCAGATGATTGGAAGCTTTGCTTATCGTCACCCTTCATGTTGTCGGACGTTTGTTTGATCGTTTTCCTTAATCATTTGAGACCATCGACCAATTCTGTACCTCTTTGCTGAGTAATGGTTTAATATTCTATTATTTGTCTACCTATATCAAATCAATTTGTCAATCTATTTACACATCTCGACGATCAGTCCATCATTTTGAATAGATGAAACAATAAGATTTTTAAAAAATTCTATCTTGAAAGAAAAACCCTGTGATTTTATTGAAAATAAGATAAATAACAATCAAACAGTTACAATCATAACAGACACTGAAACAGACGTGATAATAAGAGAAAAAGTATTACTTTTTTCTAACTGAATAAGTTTAGTTGTTCAGTGAAAGTTGTCATGTTAGAATTCGCTAACTAAATAGGCATACCAGGAAAAATTAAACTTAAACAGTCAGCTTGGAGCACTCCTAAAACAAAACACAAAAGACCTTATGCTTCAAACATGAGTGGACATAATTTTTACATTTACTGAAATAATCAGTTAAAAACAGAAAAATCAATCCAACAAAACTTTTAAGAATAAAATAATTCAATTGGTTACTAAAACAAAGAAATATGTACTTAGATTTATATTTAGAAAAATTGGAAAAAACTAGCGTTTTAACTAAAAAAATTGAAGGGTTACCCTAATTTCTAATTGAGTAGCTTATCATCATCAGGTTCCTGGCCAGGAGGGGTCATCAGCCCTTACAGGAAATCTTCGAATGATTTAGCACACAATCCTTTGGTATCCAATTCTTGGGCCATTATAGGGTCATTCAGGACTTCCCGAATACATTTTGAGCACTAAAGGATAGATTTTTGATGGATCAAACTCATCGTCCTTTTGTTCGAAAGATACACTGAGCTGAAGCCTGTCGGAATAACAGTAGTAGTGTCTAGGTAACTGGACCGACCTGTCGCAATCCAACCCGCTAAACGAACAATAAAGAATACGGTAAAGTAGTTGGCGGCATCCGTGACAGGGTCGTCCGAGAAGCACGGACAAGATAAAGGGTCGTTAGATTATCTAAATTGGAAAGAAAGGATCCTAATCCGACCCAGAATTGGCCGTTCGCGAATGACACATGGACATTTACTTTTAAAAGAAAGTAATAAACGTTAAAGAAATTGAAAGCAGTTTTTCAGGAAAGGAGGCATACTAGCTTCTAAGGAAAAATGGTTTTTCAAAGGCTCTGCTATTGTAAACAATTATCTTGCCGTGACATTAGCTTCTCGTTTGTCACTCAACGCACACATTGGCAACAAAATTGACATTTCTTTAATGCAGTTTTTCTTTCCATTATTAAGTACGGATGTCAATTTTGTGGTTTTATACCTGATAATCTGTTGGAAACTTATTATTATTATTATTAACATTATTCATCAAGCTATTGTCTTATTTTACCTTTAATTTGCTTGAGCACAGCAGAAATTTTCCTTTTTTTTATTTTTATTTTTTTAAGGAAACATGATCATGGTTTTGTATATAGAGATTTTTTATTTTAATTATCACTATTCTTTATATAAAACGTTGGGTGATTGATGATTACTTTTGTGTTCACTGTTCAATGAAAACGTATTTATAAATCAATAAATCAACGATAACATAAGTGGTAAGGGCAGCGGCGTAATGAGCGAAGGTCGAGGGTTCGAATACGGCCAGTGACACTAGCTTTTTCATCTTATCCAAAACCTTAAATTAATTAACATGTATTTATAAGCGTTAATGTCCAGTACAAGGGTATCGATGGTGGAAGATTGAGTATCCCATGGGCCCTCACTTAGATTAGTTATATTATACTATCGGGTTCGCAACCACCTTTCTTGAGTGAGTGAACTGTAAATAGGAAATAATATATACAAAAATGGGTGTGTCCAAGTTTAAAATTGCCTTCGTAATTGGCGGAAATGAAACTAGTTGGCGACAGCCCTTTTATAAAAAAGTTGCAAATTGAAATAAAAATATCTTTTGAAACAAATACTTAATATGTTAACTATAGAAAAAACAAACATAATGCGTACAAATAAAAAAATAATAGGACTAAAGTTATAATAAATACGAAAAAATGTTTTTTTGACTAAACAATAAATGCTAGAGAAAAAAAAATGTTTTCTTTACCTAATATAATTTTCCAACATAAAAAAGTATTTTCAGCTTCAGAAAAAGAAGTAATATTGTATGCCAACAAAATACGTTAAAGAGGCAAAAAATGCAATTTGGGCGAAAAGCTTTATTATTAAGAATGTATAAAATCACGAGTTTTCAGGTTCTATAAACTTAATTTCTTGAAGGTGGGATAATAGGTCATCAAGATGACCTATTATCCTTCCTTCAAGAAGGAAAAATTATAAGTTAAACTGCTGAGGTCGAAATATAAGAAAACATCGTTCTATAATCATTATATATTTGCTAACTTAGTATGTAAAAACGTGAAATACTAAAACGTTAATAATTTCTTTATATTTTTAACAAATTCAACAATTCTTAGATTTTAAATCAATATAATTCACTTCAATCGACTGACTGAATACTTGTAATAAGATTTTCCTACTTTCCGAAAAATGAGCGACTAGAAAACTTGCGACAAGCTGGCAATAATAAATGTTTGCAAGATATAATGCTCATTTTATCAAATAACCCTCTGCCTCGAGTATATGTGGCTGCTTTCCTTCCTGGACAGAGTTGAACTTGGTTGGATCAGCCAGTGGGTTTCAATAAGTTAAGTTCCAATCAGGCGGGGAACTCGGATGATTGCTTCGTGCCCCACATAAGTTACTAAGACCCAAGCCCGATTATCCTCTGCTTGACTGTAGCCCGGTTCGGTTAGAATTTAATAAAACCGTATACATTTTTCATTCAACCTCAACTTAAAGAATTCTAAACTTCTAAAAACTAGGTAAGTTGTAGAAATTCGTTTTAAGTACATTCTTACCAACTGTTCGCAATAGCTTCTTCACAAGTAACTGGAAAAACCGTTTGACCTGCTATTGCCCTTGGGCTTCAGGGTTTTACCATTAAATACCTCTTTTAGCAAACAGAATAATTTTTTGAAAAAATCTCGCGTTAAATAGGTTTTTAAACGATTTTGTACACTTTCAATTTATCGTTGGATCTCAGCATGCTGAAACAGTTATAGCCAACATACTCTGGCAAATACGCGAGTGCTTGTGGCTAAATTCGATTCTACTTTCTATCTTACTTTTAGGCTAGACAAACCTGTAGACCTCTACCACTTGAACTTCCTCACAAAGCTCTTGACCATCCGATCTCAAACGCATTTTTAGCAAACTTCTTCGTAAAAAAATACCCCGGTTGTGATTTATTCATGGCAAATATACTCGGCCAAATTCGTAAATGTTCCATTGTCTACCTTACTTATCCGTTCAACAACATTCTAAGTACCATGTTCTCCTTAAATCTATGGAAATTCGCCTCAGTTATCATGATCAGATGGTCTGAGATCTGATCTTGGGTGATACCGAGTGACATACGAGTGCTTAGGCCACTCCAGGCTATACAAGTTAATTATATTTCTCAATTAACATGTATGCTTGATTTAATTAATTCCACAGTTATAATTTTCTTAAATCTTGCTTAAATTATATTTATGATATTAGATCGACATCAATATCATTTCCAAGGTCTAATATTTAATATTACATTATTCACACTAATGCCACGCTTGGGTTCAAAAAGGTCCTTCCACTTCAGTTGAAGTCACTGGAAGGGCTGTTTCAATAGCTAAAAATTTGAGTATTGTTTGCTTGTAATAGTGATGAAAATGTTGTTAAAAACAAATATTTTTTTTTGACTTAGTAGATTGAAGTAAGATATAGAACCTGTAGGCCATTACTATACCAGCTTAGATCAGGTTCTACCAGAATATATGAAGTATTGATAAACATTAAATAGAATCTTTCAATTAATTAATCTTTATGTAAGGTATTGGTTGAAATGAAAAAAATCCCGCTCTTGACACTAACTTTTTCATTTCAACCAATACCTTACATAAATATTAATTAATTAAAAGAAGTTATTCGGTCAATCGGACCACGAAATACAACGGATTAAATAGAATCTAATTATCGTCCTTGGATACTAAGTAATGTTGATTGTCGATATGGGTAATGGTTTTACACAGGTCATTAATAATACATCAAAAATCAAAGTTTTGATATCATACCATATGATGGTATAATCAAATGGACGAATCATGTAGGCTTTTGGATCATTTTACCTTTTACAGGTTACGTCTCTGGTTGCTGCTTTCTAAGCACGTCCGCTTCAAGCCGTTGGAGAATACTCGTCCCAAACAGGAAACAACATAAACATCCTTTTATATGGACTTATGAACGTTGGGATTTCTTTTTTTATAGTACCCAGAAAACCTTCCTTCATTTTCTTATTTGGGGTCGTGGGGATTATTTTATTATATTTTAAGTAGATTGGAAAGCGTTCGGTTTTGGTTTTTAATTTGTAATTTGTAGGTTAATTAGTACGAAACAATAAAATAAATAACATTTTCTTTTTCAGGTGTTGAGAGTAGGACATAATTACTGATTTGGTTTTTCATTTGCATTTCGGCATTCAGCCTTATGTTGGAGGGTTTGTATCCATTATAATAACAGGCGAATGGTGCCTAGTTAACATTGAGAAAATATCAAACCCACCACTGAAGATAGCGAAATGCAACGAGATAGACCAAACTACTGAACATAGAGAGACAAATATGATCAAATTTGACGATAAAAATTTTCCGAGTTTTGTCGTTCTAACTGATTCCACGTGGCCACGATGTTCCTACTATTTATACTAATTTAATTTTTGTTTTCAGGGAAGGTCATGGGTGAGGAGGCCCGTGAGACACTACAGGCATTTTTGTGTCAGAGCATATCACGATTCTATCGGCGGGAATCAAGCTGTCGACAAGGAAAACAGTGAGTTGTACTGTAGAAAATTATTGAACTACCTTAAAGCAAAGAAATCGCCCTTTCTCTACAGTGAAACTAAATTGAATTTAGTTTTCAACCTATTTCTCTAGCAAGCCAGCTTTAACGGCCGCTTATGGTCGCAAAGATCCTTTACCAAAGGTCTATTTTATCCTTCTGATTAAATGGGTTGCTCTCTTTGACGTTGTTCAAATTAATCCCTACCCTTTCTCTCTTTTTCTTTACAATCAACGATTTTTATCTTCCACAAAAACTCTGTGTTTCTGTGGTGTTAACTGTGTAAATCAAATCTTTTAACTTAGCCGGAATTCTGGTTTCTTTGTCTGAAAAAACCTTTTAATACCGTTCATAGACCGAGTTTTAAAACAACATTATCAATCTTGTTGGACGAACGATCTGATTTAAAAATTAAACAAATAAAGTATTCTACAGTTATAAAATGGTATATATAACAAAAATATCAAATATAATAACTAAAAATAGAAGAAGGCTACGTCCGTGGAATCATAGATATCAAGCAAACATTTTTTTATAATATCGACAATGTTTCTTGCTAAATAAATAAGTATTTTAACTTACTTGGAAAAGATTGAAAACAATCGAACATCAGAGCGAGCAAATGCCTATTAACATAAAATATATTGGCAATTTCTGACCCACCGACATAGCTAATAAGTTGCGATATTTTCTGATTAAAAAGGAAAAATGTTGGTAGTCCTTCATTACTAGAGTCCGGATTTGTTTGCAATTGTGTATTCTCTTTTTGCTACCACTTACGACCATGGTGAACAGACATTTCCGTGGTGCAATCGTTCAAATGTTGTACAGCATATTTTTGTATATTAGAAGAAAATTGGAATGGAAATTTGAAACATTTTTGATTACTTAAAAAATAAAAATAAATTATGCAACCAGCAATTTGATTAGAAGTTCATTTTACTTTGCAGGACTAAAGACGTACATACGTTTACACAATAGAATTCATTAACCTACATCTTATTTGAGATCCCTGTTTCCAAAACTTTTGTTACAGTTTTTTTACCTTTCATGATTTTTTTTCTGATGTCGGGTTTTGGAAATCTGGAAATAGGGGCCTCATTTGAAACGCAATAATAGTCAGTCTCATTTTTTTATATCATCAACCCAGAAAAAAAATTGCTTAATGTGGTAACTTAACTTCCACTTAAATAGCAGGTTGTCTTTTAACTTTCAAAGCAAATAAGTCCGGAAATTAGTGTCCGAGTGGATCGAAATCACGATAGCTCAAGTGGTGGAGTCGCGGCGTAACTAGCTGAAGGTCGTGGGTTCGAATCCCGCTCTTGACACTGACTTTTTTATCTCAACTAAAAACCTTAATAAATTGAAAGATATTAATTGGTCAAGCGGACCACGAAAATTAGTGAATTTAGTAAGTTAAACTGAAGTATATCTTCACTAAAGCTCTCCATGGCCATTTCATTTGTCACCGAGAATCAAATTGATTACACGAAATTTGAAAAACGGCAAAAAGGAGGGAAAATTCATAAGGTGGGGTTAATGTCACGAGCTGGATTCGAACCCACGACCTTCGGCTTAGCCATTTTTTTAAATTTTAATAAAAAAAAAGTTCTGATTATTTGCATACAATCGGTGTGACATAAGCAAATTTTACTTTGAGATCATAGCCTAAAAAGTTACTTAGATTCTTCATGATTAAAACAAAATTGAAAAATCAGATTAAATTTTAATATTGTTTATCTTCATTGCCAATGTTTGAAATGACATATGTCGTTAAATTTAATTTCTATGCGACACTATATACTACATATTAAATTTAATACTTCCCGTATGTTCGCATTGGCTTTAGGGCCGTTTAAAACTTTTGATTGCAAAAGTGGAAGAAAAGTTTTTTTTTCACCTTTGTCGATAAAATTGGAGCCCAAGAAAATCGCATCGATCTACCTGTTTTATATTCTCCATCCATATTCCAGCAATTCTCACCAAGTTTCTCATCTTACGTCCCTAATAGAATTTGCCCTTCGCTTCTCGAACGCAATGGAATGTCCCTGAGGTTCCTTGGAGCAGGAGAGTTCAAAAAGAACGATAATCATATGTTAACCTTTTTTTATATCAATTTACATTGTTACGTTTAACAATATTATTTAAATATGGCTAGGCAATACACACAGTTCGGTTAATTTAAATTAGTGCGATATTAAATAATTTTCTTTACAGATGTTTATATAATTTGTAAATAATATACATATTGTATTCCTGTAAATAATATACATATTGTATTCCATGTACCTATTGTTGATGATGATTAATAAAGATAATTGATATTAGATTATTTACAAATTAACTGTTCTATTTAACTATAAAATAATCTGGTCTGCTCATCTAATTGCCAGCAACTTGAAACTCCTCGAACACCATATCAGGACAATTTCTGCGGAGTTCCATTGCTTTATTTTGTTTTCTCGATTCAATTAGGACTCGCCATGATTGGATGGGTTTCTTCTTATCTTTGAACTCTTTGTTTTCGAAAATCGACTGTACCTGAGAGACTTTGATATTAGCCTGGACGTCTTCAACATCTTCAATCGGTTCCATCCGTCCGCGGCATTCGGCCAGTTCTTCGCATATGCTTTTTCCGAACACTTCTTCGTAGTACCTGTTCTTGCTGGGTTCGTGATGGTGTTGGTCTTCAGTGCCGGCCAGTTCAAGCCGGCTGCCGCAGCTGTTACTTTTGACAAGCCTAAATTTCACGCCGAGATACTGGTCTCTCAGCCGTCTCGAACTTTCATTGCCTTGCCTAATCTCGTCCATGATGGTCATCGTCATGGGGCTGCGCACAGGACCATCGCTATGGCTAATCACACGACCACCGTAATAGGTCACAGTGGTGCCACAGGCACGGATTTTCTTCATAAATTCTTGGGAAACGGGATGAATTTCTGTTGTCTCTCTAAAAGCTTCTGGTTCGAGTTCGTCATCACTGCTGTAGCCTTTGTGGCTGATTTCGTCCAAATTGTTGTCAAGCTCGTTCTCAAAACAGCTCATATCACTGCTCACCCCGGAAGATAGAGAACCGGTGTCCGTCCACTTTTTATTTTGTAATTTTTTATCGAACGGCGGCCTCCTTTTTCCGTCGTCAATGATTCTGACTTCTGGCGTCAGCCTAGGTTTGCTTTCTTTCGAAGGGTTGACGATTTTTGCAGCAATCGGCAACATTATTTCGGCGTCTTCGGGTCCTGTCAATTTTACCTCTTTTTGGAACATTTGACGGGTATTTCTCACCTTATCCGGATCTGGGAGTTCTTCGTCTTTCAAATCTCCTTTTGTCTTAATCAAATGATAGAAATAATGTCGCTGTACGTTTGGCTGATGAGGTTTGGCCGCTCTTGGAAGAGTATTCGATGCACTTTCCGAAATATCTCCCACCGAGCCACTCTTTACCGTCGCTCCAGTTATCCTGCATCCTTTATCAAAATCAGCGTTTTTGTGATTGTATTCTGAAATGTCTGCAGGCTTATCCTCTCTGTAAGGCTCGATGATAACAACGTTTTTATTTGTGAGGAGTTCTTTTAAGCCGATTTTATTCTCTTTCAAATACATTTTTAAATTGTTTATAGCCATTTGTTTTGTTGTCTGCGGGTTATCCTTGTTTATTTCTTCGTTATATTTGTTTATGTCGTTGGACGACTTGGATTCGCATTTAGGTTTAAATATCTCCTCTTTCCTCCTTTTCAAGTCCTCACCCGATGGCCTGCAAGTTTTGGGCGATCCGGACTTCGAACTGCTTGCGCTTTCATCCGATAAATTGAGCTCCGAGGTCGCTTTTCTACCGTCTATAACGAACGTTCCGTCCGGCCCGGTCGTTATTTTGGTCCTCACCGCAGTCGGACGTACCACGAACGTCTTGTTATTTGCGTTAGTTTCTTCATCCAAATTCAGCAGACTTCTAGTACGCAAAACGAGTTTAGATGACGTACGCTTTAGCTCGGGCTCATAAGAAAATTCCTCCTCGTAAAATTGTGTTTCGGTGTTGGCAATGTTTTGTGCTGAGTCGTAATGTCTCGCGTTGTTCTCTTTAGAATCAATATATTTTTTTATTTCATTTTTCATATCAAGATCCACTAGTTTTGTGTTAAACGCCTCAGCTGTTATCGAATTGTCATTTTTGTCATTTACATTTTCCATTTGAACCGGTAAGGGTGGCATAACAGGCGGGACAGGTATCTTCGCCTCACCCTCGTCATATTTGCTTTCAACATGTGTTGATTCGTTTTTACCGTCCTTATGTTCTGATTGGTTGCTTGTTTTTTCAGCCTTTTTGATGACTTGATTGTATATCGCGTTAGGATCGACTTTTTCCAGCTGCTCCTGGGAGGAGGATGAATCTCTCCGCTCGTCGAAACCACTTTCGTTGCTATCGTGACTGTCATCTTTCCGTCTTTTCTCGTGATGATCCTTCTTCCCGTTGAATTGAATTGTGACTTCACTAGCAGCCTCTGAACTGGTTGTATAATAGTCCATGTCGCTCTCCTCGCTTAGCTTCTGCACTGATTTGCGTTCAGACCTTTTCAAAGTACAGAACCCGTATTCTTGTGATTCTGGGCTTGATCTCTCGTATTTGACGTATCGTCTTTCTATATCATCTGATTTTCTTTTCTCCTCGTAGTACACCTGAAAAACGAAAAACAACTTTTATTTTAATAATAGATTATTTGTAATTTGTTATTTGTAATTCAAATGTAATTTCAAAATATTGCACCAATTAACATTAAACTTGATATATTTATTTTCTTGGATTTGTTCGATGAGTTGAAATGTTTGGTTTTTGTATAACATCGTAAAATGTTGCGTCAAAGAACGTTTAAAATGGAAAATTAAAAACATTACAATTAAAAACTCTTATTAGCCTTTCTTTTAAGTAAAAGAGAAAAAAACTCTCCATTAAATGTACAAAATTAACATGACCAAAATGCAGACAAACTTTACAAATTAACAGACAAATCGTCAAGGCAAATCGACAAATGACCACAACAGTCAGATAGAATATACAAATGAGGTTTTTAAAAATTAAGAGTAGAGGATAAAAATTCAAGTTTGAAAAAATATTAATAAAATATTGAATTAAAATATAATAATAACCGAGGTTCATGGTTGAGTATGTTAATTTTTTGGTATGTGATATGAAAAAAATGAAGGGATTACTCTGAGCTTATAAAAAAATGGGTATACTTGATCAATGTTTCTCTATTATTTTTCGTTCTTTCTGACATTCCAAATTTGTGAATCTCATAACAATGAAATAATTATCACGAGATTTAATTTTTTTATCGATAATCCTCCTGAGGCTCTTAAAGTTTTTACTTCCATTGCCATGTCTCCGCCATGTACATAGGGTCTTAGCATTTTGGCTCGTGCGGTTAAGGTGCACACATTCTTCATTACTAAGCCCGCCCGAGGCTTAGAGATTGCGTGCCGAATAAAAAGTGAGGTATAATAAACCTCTCTAGAGTTGGACTATGCCTGAAGGGTTGGGTTTTATTGATGTAGAAATGGCCCGCTGTGCTGCAATAATGTTTAATTTATTCAATTTGGGGGGTAGTAAAGTTTTAGTAGTTGGTTAAAGTTTTTATTCATTATTTTTTCTTTTAAGGTTTGTGCACTTACAGGTCGGGCGTAGTGTCCAGTGTCCGATCTCGTCCTTTCGATATCCGGTTTGTTAATGCGCTTTCCGCAACAACTCACTGAATGTCTCACCAGTTTATCAGGCGGTGGAACGCTGAAACAGAAAACAATTTGCATTGTATTATCGTAATCAAGGTTAATTAGGTTATTATAGTATTTTTTATGAGCAGCAGGGTAGTAAAAAATTAGATAATGTTCAATGGATAAGACTCTAGATGGTAATAGGTCGTTAAGATTAGATTTGGAATTTAATTTGTGGTGTTATGCGACTTTTTTACAAGGAAAGAATTCCTTATGTATCAATGACTAACTACCACGACGGTTTCTTTATTATTTGACAGGTTGATAATTTTTTTCAATTTTCTAATCGAGAAAGTACGTGGAATAAAAAACATGTATTTTTTACCATAGTTGCTGGAGGTACTTTGCAAGACCTTACGTTGGGTATTAAATACTACCTAGCTGCGCTGGTAGAAATTGCTTTGGAAATAAGTCTAGGAATGGCAATACGTACGTCCGAAGTTAACAGACTTGGGAAGACATCTCCTAACTTGGAACTTGCCAAATGAGGCCATTTTATCTTGTTGTCCGTTATTCAAAGGGATGTTTGAACAATGTTTACAATCCCAGTTAAAAAAATAATTTGAAGAAAGAAGGAGGAAAAGCTGTCATTTGACAGAGTTCGGGAACCTTTAACTTACGACTCGATGTAAACATTTTCGACAGTTTCTCATTGCAGATTATCAAAGGTATTACAAATTGGCGTCGAACAGTGCAAACCAATCCAACGAAAATTAATCGTAGTACTTATTATTATTAACTTTATCGGAGTGTCTGTAAGCTTAAGAAGAGATTCCAATCAACATTACCGGTTTCTATTAAAATGAAAAGTTAATCTAGTCTGAACAAATCAAGCATCAAGTACCCAAAATGTAACAAGCGATACAATTTTCATCATAGTTTCTTGCACCGTCAAAATCATACAAATTTTTGGGGAAAATAAAAAGTATATTTTGCTTAATATTTTCTACAACACCTTCCAAATGCGTCTCATTTTTTTTAGAAAATCACAAAAATAATGGTAAATTTGAAATGGCTCCACCGGTCTACTGGGAATTGTATAAGGTTTAAAATTTCATAAATTACGCGCAATAGCACATAGCTGACCTATGCATTGTTGCAAATAAATAATAATTGGAGATATAAAAACAACAAACGTTTGAAGACATTTTGGTGAATTCATCCTTACTTTTCTCATTTATAGTAACAAAATCTAAATATCTTTGGCATACCCTGAAAAAAGAAATTTCGACGGTTGTAATGCTACTGATAATAATATTTTCATAAAATCCCCTTGCATTTTTAAATGGTACAACGGACAGCAATGAAAAAAAATGTTTTAAACTAATCCGAATTTTTGAAAAACAGTTTTACAAACAGTATTCGACGCGTCTTTTGGTTTTTGAAACTTTTTTTTTACCTAATCTGAGATTAAATAAATTCCTTAATATTAGTTTCTTATTTTACGTAAAAATTCAAATATAGCATAGCTATGCATTGTTGACACTGAAATTAATAATAAATAGTAAATTTATGACCGAGCGATTTAGAAAAGTTGTTAATATATGTTTTTAGCAGGAAAAAAGTTAATATTTGTTTTTTCGTTCTTGCACGCCCCTTCCTAAATAATAACTCTTTTTGAATACAAATTTTATGAAAAATTATAGAACTTAATTATCTCAAAATATTTTCTCTCCAAACACTTCCGAATTTTCTTGACAATAACAAAAATACTGACAACTTTGCCACATAATAGCACGAACTTTCCCTCGGTAATTAAATTAGACCTGAAGAATGTTTGAGGTGGTTGTTTTCATTTCAAATTTTTTCCCACTTATAATTGCTAAAATAATTGTTTGAGATAATAGAAAAATCCAGGTTTTATATTCATGGATAAAAATAAAGGATTGTTGCAACCTTAGGAGGATTGAAAACTAGGACTAAACTAGCCAATTATTTTATTTGCTATGAAAATTCTTATTTAAGGGTTTTAATGTGCGCTCAAAATAAATCCAAATTTTCCACAAATAAACTTTTTTGCCGAACTGAACTGCCTTCCTAACTTTTTTATGGTTAATTCTTCTCACATATAATTACGTAAAACCTAAATGATGTGGATGGCTGAAAGTACATAGTACAAGCATTCCAATACATTGTATTTGTATAAAATCCAGAGGGGTTTGAATTTTTTTTTTGGAGATCGCTGAACAAAATGACCCCGTGCTATCTAGCAAAAATTGTCTACTTGTTGTTTGCGATGAAAACCCGTATTTGAGATGGTTATGTGGTGCCTAAAATAAAGCAGAATTGGTTAAAAAAACTGCTGGAAGCGCTTTTTGTTTTGGCGACTTTTCATATATATATAATCTCATTTAGTGCATTTTCTTATACTAGATAAAATAACAAAACAAGTGATTCAGAATAACCGTGAAATATATACAAATGCAGAAAATCATATTGAAAAACGACAATGTTATCTAACTAAACAATTTTCAGCTCCTAGGACAACATTGACAAAAACGCTTAGACATGTGTCAAATATTTTTCGACCAAGTTTCAAAAAAATTTTCATCCAAATCGGTCTCTGGCGTTGGTTTAACATTAGATGCAGGCTTGTTATGGAAAACACGTAAAAAAGTGTAGAATAAGACAAACAATTTCCGCAAAATGTACAGGTTAATGGCGGGGGACCGCGGTAGCCGAGTGGTTAGCATGAGGGACTCTCACGCCGCGGTCGTGGGTTCGATTCCCACCGTCGCCTCTGGCCCTTTTTTCACAATAACCCCCCCAAATTTGAACACACAGATATGAATTGTCACATGGCTAATATGCATAGTTCATAACGCCAAAAAAAAACGAAAAAAAAACAGGTTAATGGGCAGAAACTCTCCTTTGCTCATTGAAAGTTAGCTTTTATTTTATTAATAGGTCCCCAAGTGTATGTCGACGTACGGCATCCTGCTCTGGGGCTGTGCCAACAAAACAAACTGCCAAATAGTTCAAAGATTTCAGAATAGAGTAATGAAAAGCATAGTCAGAAATTAATACCTCCACCGTGACCTCAAAATAAAAACAATAGAGGAAGCTATTTTTAAAGCTCAGATATGACTCTTCAACGTGGTAGCTAGACGTCGAACACCTAGGCAGAAGACTCAAACTCGTCAAGCCACCTTATTATTCCTGGTGGAGTGATTGGTGAAAATGTGTCACTAAACACCACATATTTCAAAACGGTTTAATAGTTGTATAAACAAAAATATTTTAAACCTTTTGCGAAAAATGTTATTGTGTTGCATTAACATTAGTGTGGAGGGATTGGTTTTACTTGTTGTATTATGTGTATGACTTTTGTGTTTAATTGTTTCTTTGTGTACTGATGCAGTTGCTTGTGTATTTATTTATGTATTTTTTATTAATTTTTAAAATTTACACTTGGGTGTCTTTTTATTACTGAATGTGCGTGTGTACACACTAGTCTTATTTAATTCGTTTACCATAATGAAAAAACACTGTAGTTATACCATCACGCACGACCGGGCTGTCTTGACTGACTCGGCGAACTTTTGAAGGGGCACGCAAGCACTGTAGCACACACACTCTCGCCGATTGATGCAGAAATGGGATTTATTTCAATGGAAAAATATATCGCTAATTGTTATTTTCATTTGGAATAAACTGATTGGTGTAAATGGTTCAGTTGAATATCAATTAAATCAAAATGTTTATAGGGAATTGAGTAATCATGATTGTTTTTTTTAATATTGTAATTTTTTGAACTTTATATTAATATCGAATCTTTTTTGAAAAATGGAAAAAAGGAGGGAAAATTCAAAAGGTGGGGTTGCGATGAGAAGTTAGTGCCCGAGTAGATCGAAGTCACGATAGCTCATGTGGTAGAGTAGCGGCGTATCAAGCCGAAGGTCGTGGGTTCGAATCCCGCTCTTGACACTGACTTTTTTATCTCAACTAAAAACCTTAATCAATTGGGTTTATATTAATACTTGAACTTTATACTCGTTGCTTTAGAGATATCCAAATACATATTTATAGCATAGTCACCAGTCATGGTCATAATTAACCGAACATAAAAACTAAGTTATTGCTATTTGTTTATTATAGAAGCTAGAAGTTAAAAGATTTTTTGAATTGATCCTTAAGCCAAGATATTTTGAATTGATCCTTAAGCCGATAGTGATAAATAATTTATGAATTTGTGATAAACAAAATTCGAACATGCATATTCACGGTGAGCAATCCTGTTATATATGTGCTGCCCTAGAAATTAAGGCACAATTAACCCGTTACGTCTACACGCTTTTCGGCTTAGTTGAACTCCGGAAGATATTCATAAATCATTACCCGTTTCAATATTAAGCTTAGCGCGTTCAAGAAGAATAGTTATATAATTTGTAGGACCGTTTAGCTTGTCCCATGTATACTATCGGATTTGGGTGAAAGTATCCATTTGTCAAATATAGTATCAGAAAGCAAACATTTAACAAGATTTTTATAAATTATATACTTCAAAACACTAAAAAACAGATAATTAAGTTCATCACAAATATAAAGAAGTATCATTTCTCTCTAAATTTACAAAAATAATTAAAAAACAAAAAACACGTATAACTCATATGCAATAAGACAAGTAGTGGTAAATAGGTTGATAAGCAAGACATATTTTCATTGGAAGAATAAATAATTTCAAAATCCTCAAGAAAAACATTTCTAGTGTGATCACTTATCGAGAACAAACTACTGATATTGGGAGAAGTAGTAAAGTAAGGTAATTCATGTCATAGAGGATGGCTATGATTTTCCCTACTAATTATATTTATACTAATTTCCCGTTGTGGGTCGCGGACGAGGGGTCAAACAACTTTACAATATACTTTTCATACCAGTATTATGATTCACATCTTCTCGAGACTTCCATTTCTGTTTTTTCATTAGTTCAGACCAACAAAGTCATGTTCTTTGAGAATGTACATATGCTAAGGCAGTTAAATTTAACTAGTACATTTTAGAATCTGGCTGTGGCTGGTAGGCTGTTGTAAAAAAAAGCAGCTAAAATGGATTACATTTCTTACAATTCCTTGTTTATTATGTATTTATTTTAATTATCTTAAATTATTTAAAGAATCAGCAAAAAAGTAAAAAAACGGTAGTTCTTGGTGTTTTAAGTAGGTTAGGTCTGTGTACAAATTATGAAAAATTTAATGGCATGATTTTATGTGCATAAAACTGCTAAATGAGTTGCTTGACGAGATCCGAATTTCGCTGTTATTATAAAAATTGCAATTTCCCTTTGTTACAAGCCGTTTGTTAAATGATAATTGTAGTTTAACAATGAATCTTGGGGAATTAACAAACTACAACAAGCGAGTTCAACGAACATTTTGTAAATATTAAGTTTTTATTATGGTCGCAAGGTCTGACTGTCATGTTAATTCTGTGCCTGATATGTTGTAAATACAGCGGAAATAAACCACCTACAATGTGATATTGTTATATATTATATAACAAATCAATTTTTAGAGGTATTATCTAACGAGAAAAGTTTTTTTACTTTATTTTTTGTTGTTTCTATTGTTTCTAAAAGAAAGATAAGCGAAACGACCTTTTCCCTGAAGAGCGATCAATTAAATGTAAAATGCTGAATCGCATGGAGTAGATTCGGAGATGTGTGGCACAATTTTACACGGTTCAGATCAATTATTGATAACCTTTGTTCAGGTCGGGCCTGAGGGGGTGGCCTCCCCGAGGTCCCCAGGGGTTGTAAATATTTCAACCTGACCCAGGAAGGACGTGAGCCACGTCGTTCATAATACTAATCTCCTAATCTCTTCCTGAGTCTTGTCAACCTGGATTTATATTCAATGGAATCCAAGATCATACTTTATTCGATTCTCAACCTACATAAAAACAGTAGTATTAGAAATCTTCCTCGTTGTTAGAACGGTCGGCTTAATAAATTATATTGCCTGGCCCAACGGAAAGGGAATCGCAGTGCGTGAATAGAACACGAGAGTGTGAAAGAGAAATACTGGCCAGGAGAGTTTATATAGTAAAGATAAATTGCCCCACCTTAAGCCTAGACCTGAAATTTATCAGGAAAGTCTCAGGACACCTGACATCTAACGATGTTTATGGTCGAAGCTGCAATAGGCCAAGAGATAGGTGCTCTGAACAGCTGACAAAATTAGGGGAATCTGTGATGTCTGGAGGTTAGTCGAGAAGCCCTGAAATCTTTCAGTACTGAGCTGGTTATCCAGTATTAAGCTGGAGGAACACTGAAAAAATGAAATGATGTCTCTTGCTATGATATCCACCACGGGCTATACCTAAGCTTGACTCTTTTTCCATTGGCACGACTAGATACGCAGTATGATAACTTATGAGCAACTTATCTGAAGTGAATTTCTGCAAGTGTACATGAAGCAATGGAAGACCTCATTCAGGGTCACTCATGATATGGGAAAGTTTCTATTGGCTTGATTTAAAAAATAAAAAATACTGAACTCGCATTTTTCGATATAGGAAATGTATGACTGACCACTTTAATCAGTAAACTCAACACTATAGCTTTACATTGAAATTATTAATAATAACAATACTAAATACAAAACACAATGAACATAAACATTTCAATATTTTTCGGTACATCGTCCCTCTTTCTATCTAAACTTTCAATAATTTTCCCCGATTTGTGTTGACGTAAAAAAGCACAATTTAAGTTGCATGTTTCTTCCTTGTTTCTAGGTTTATTCAGTCATATTATATTTGATATTTACGGTAAATTACCTTCTGTAATCCGGCGATCTCTGCCTTAGCCTAGCCCTGGGAATGAGCTCCTGCCGCCTGTACTGAGCCCTCGGGTCGACCTTTCTGTCAGCCCAGTTATTTTCGTAGGATTTGCACAATCCGCGACCATTACCACTGCAATCGTGAGTACCTCTTCTGAAAAAAAAATTTTTTTTTTTTTAATAAATATTGTTCAAAATCTGACTAGTGAAGTAACTAACTATTGATACTCAAACCTTCAGAAAAACTTTTTACTTATGTATTCCGGATAAAAAAAGCAAACATGATCACATTAATTGCTTCAAGACTCATTCAGATTTATAAAATTGCCCGCCCAGTTTATTTATCTTTGGAAGTACGTTCATCAAGTAGAGTGGCTTTCGGCAAGCAACTCTTCCGCACAATAAACCATTCAATGCCATGTTTTTAGTTGGATGAAGAATAAAAGGAATCTCGAGCTTCTTTTAAAAGCTTCTACATTTGAACTTTGAATTTTTTATGGTAAAAAAAATTATTGAGATGGTGGTATCGAATAAAATTAAGAATTTTGTGTTATTAAATTAAAATTTATTTACAAGAACTTGCAAGGTAAATTCAGCCAGAACGTTTAAAATTATTCGTAGTATTTCGTACCTAGAAAGGCTATTATTTTGACTTTCATTTTCAACAAAAGTGACTACAAATGTCTGATAGTCAATGGTCAAAAATTAATTTGAAAAAAGTTGATTATTAAGAGGTCTATTTAACTTAATTCAATCTAGGACATAATAGAGGGAAATAATTAGGATCTTCTGATCTTCTTATGATTATAAGGTAAAGCAAACAAAACATTAATTAAGTCACCCGATGCTCCGAGATAATAGGAAAATAATTCTAAATGATCTTTTTTTTGATGAATGTGCAATATCCCATTCACTAAACTTGTCACTGTGAATTAAAAATTAAATAAATATCATAATTGTGTATATATATTTTTCGTTGTTGTTTCCTCTTTTAAAAATTTAATGTGTTTTATTTATTTTGTATTTGTTGCCACTTATTTCATGTAAATTCTTTGGACAGAAAGTAATGCATTGCATTGCGGGGCTTTGTTAGTCCCCGACATCGGTGAGATTTTTCTATTCAGCATTCAGCAGCTTTTTTTGTTACTTTAACAACTGTTAAGAAAAAAACAAGTAATGAAATATCTGTTTCAGAGAATATGCCTGATGAGGGAGACGGGCAGAGTTTCGATATTCATTGCATTCCTTTTCAAATAAATAACTTTCATCAAATATGATTACATAAAATACGAAATAATTAAAATCATTCTAAATTTAGAAATAAATTCAACATCTACGTGGAGAAAATAATATTGGTTGTATTTTAGAAACGAATCTTGGCCAATCACGTTGAGCCGTTTTGACTTTTTATAAAGTAAGTTCTGCCTGTGATATGTAGGTTTATACAAATGTATAAATATAGTTTTAAGCTTTCGACCCAATCGGTGTGCCTGTTTAAGAGTGTGCTTATTTGTGTCTGTCCCTGCCTGCCTATGTTGTCTGAATTTGAAAGATTAAAAATACCTCTATTGGTTATTTTGTGTATTTTATTTTGTTTTTTTATGATTCGGATTTAAAAAAATCTTTTTTATAAATTCTTCAATTTTATTTTTTATTATTATGTGAGTTCCTTTAAATCCCTTGCAAATCTAAAGTAAATCAGTTTTTCATGGTGGTAGTTTTTTTAAATAAGTACTTTCTTATTATCAAATAAACCTTGGATTTTCCAATGGCAGTTTTATTTTCATGATTTCAAATAAAATCTTATAACTGATGTTCTTATGTATTTTAAATATATTCAATTTTCAAGAAAATGTAAAATATTGTATTTCATACATAAACTTTGACTTGGTTTTAGGCCGTCTTACCATACGAATTTTTACCTTTGTCCATACCCTATTTCCTGTTCCTTTGAAAGTGCGCCGCAAATTGACTCCACCCATAAAGGTAGTCGTGTTTGAAAGTCCCTATCTCATCGAATACAGTTGGTGTCGGAACAGCCTTATTTTACCTCAGCGCCTTTGGATTATCGGCCTATTTTTGCTCCGTGAGCTACCTCTAAGGGCAATTAAACCGTTTGAGAATAATTCCCTGGGAACACGCATAACTCCAATTGACATTTCAGTCTCCAGCAGGGTCAACGTTTTACACGAGAATTGTAAAAATGATTCGATACACAACCCCTGATAGGTGGAACAATATTTATGATTAAATTCGCATTTTGACAAAACTGACTTGAGATATTGTGACCCGTGAGAGAACACGTTGCAGACTGTAAAGGTTGCATGTTGATTTATAGGGACGGCAAATTTACGGCTCGAAAAGCAATTTCTCGGTTTTTCTCGTTTTTCTCATTTTCCTCTGGGAAAAATATTTTTTTATTGATTGGAAACTACACGATATTTTACGTTAATTGATTCATTTTTTGTAACTTGAGGTGGTTATTTAATATTTTGGTGTTTGAATAAATTTGTATTTGCTACATCTTAGCCAATTAAAATTGTTTCCACACCACCTCCACAAACAACTTAAGAATTGTTGTTCTTAAAATCAGACATGGTACTTTTATTGTAATGCTTCGTATAAATTTAGGTTAGGCATTTATTTATGGCAACAAAAAGAATTGTTTCCTACAATTATTTTGTTTTTGTTTCTAATACTAAAAGAACATAATTATGTAAATAGAAGCACGTAAATATGCTATTCCAATAGAGTAATTTACATGGTAAAACGTTGTGATAAACTTGCATTGGGATTCCTAGGGACTTGAGATTTTAAAGTTGACGAAACGAATTTTTTCGGCTTGTTTTATTTTCGTGCGCTAGATTTGAAACACGCTGTTCAATAAATTAATTGAATTCTTTATAACTCCAATATTTTTATAAAAAAAATAGAAGTTCTAATAGAAATGACAAAATTTGACTCCATTAAGAAAAAAGTTTTTATCTTTTTACGTTTTCTGAAAAAAACATTTTTTTTACACAAATATATACTATATTCTACTATATATATTAGTATATCTATAGTTAAATTGAACTGAGATGGTACCTTTTTCCCTCAGGTTTTGAGAAAAATTGAAAATCTATGGGAAAATCGTCTCATCTCAATTCAGTTTAAATCAACCCTTTAGCTTGTTTTTGACTATTCTATTCACTATTGCCGAAAAGTTTCACGTTTGAATGGTTCTCTTAAAATTTTGTTTTAATCGAATTACGTCATTTTTATTATAATACTACAAACATTTTTGTTATATTAAATTTTAATACATTTCACGATGGGATTTGGATTATACAGAAACTCGGAGAACATACGAATTATCTTATTTACGCAGTGGATAAAGGTGTTTTAACTAGTAGTTTCCTGCTTCTAATCGGTTTCAAAGAACTGTAATTTAAACATCTAGCAAATAAAACTGTATATAATAGGATTTAATGGTTGAACATTATTTTCGTTTTAGACATGAGTTATTCCCTTAGATTTTATGGGATTTGATTTAATTCTGTTCCCTGGTCACCTCGCCGTCCAGGAAGGTGTTGTGCGGAACCGCGTGCTGTCTGATCCTATGTTAGGGGTGCGTAGCCATGACGACAGTCCTCCCAAAGTTCCGCACTGCAACATCCCCCTACCCCGATTCCCATCCTTGTTCAATACCTCGCTCTCTCACTCTTTCCCCCTCTCGCTCAGTAGCTCTTTTCATAAGGCTATTGTGTCAAACGGGCCCTGATTACTTCCGGAATTTTCCATATCGGCCATAAAGCACATGCCTTATTTCAACTCTCTGCGATGTTATTGGCATTGAAAGGTGAGAGACTAGCTACAGGGCGCAATTTAATGCCAAATAGAAATATTTCGTCGAGAAATATCTTCACAATTAAAAGTGTCTTAAAATTAGTGTACGATGTCAATCTTGGCTTATGAAAATAAAACAAAAACGAAAGTCAACTGAGCTTAACTTGGAAATAAAGTAAAAATGTCCGAATTTTGTCAGAGCCTGTACAATAGAGCGCTGGTAACGTTTGAAACCCTCATATTATTCAGAAATTTATGAAACCCCATACTTCTAAACAATACTTAAAAAATGTGTCCTTGTCGTCACATTAAATTGATATCAGGCACAATACATATTTATAAAAGTTGAATGTTTTTGGGTTTCGATAACAACGATAACGAAAATACGTAACATTTTGTTAGAGGAAAACCAAAATTTACAAAAATAATCACTTGATTTGTGAAATAATGGATCTGCCAATTGTATCTCTTGCTGCATAATTCCTCATCAACGACAGAATGATAAAAATACATCGATCTTTGGAAGAAGAGACCAGTGAAGATTACTGGGATGATTAAGCGAACAGCAATTTTCTTTCATTCAAGATTAATCCAGAAAATCAATATTTGCAGTGCACAAAATACCAATACTGTTTTGGTTCCTATTTTACAACGATCGGTTTTGACTTTTCCACTAATCAAACTATTATCATAGCTGAAGACATCACAGCCGAATCACGTATGAAAGACCAAATCTCAGTACTGCCAATCTAACATCTTTTAATAATGGTTTTATTCCAGATAATGGCTTAGACTGTTCAGCTCTGCCGAAGCAGGTGTTCTGCAAGGCAGTATCCGAGGTCCTTTTTAATTTTTTGTATGCGTGAAGGACAATTTTGAAACTAATATAGCAAAATCATTATTTGATCGTTAGTAGGTCGATTTATCCTTATAACAGACGGAAATTATTACCAATGTCATCTTATGATGATTAGTAAAATAGGACAAATGATGAAATATGCGGCTTATGGCACAGTCTAAAACCAAGAATACTTAACCTGATGCCCAAAGATAATACAAAACTAATCCTAAATAAACCTTTTTATGTTTATAACTACATAAACCATAAACCTATATGTCTGCAATTAATGTTATCCCATAGACATCCACCAAACTTATCAAACTTGTTATTGCGATTTACAAATAAAATAAAATATCTGTATTAATTATTCCACGCGGAGGAAATTAAATTAATGTAGAATCGAATTTTCTCTTTCAATAAGTTAGTTCTGTCTACAGTGATCTTTAGTGTATATGTTTGACTATTTGTTTATGTATGGCTGTGGT